TTAGCTATCTTTCCAAAACTGAAGCATTAACTATTTATTAATTAATCTTTTGAAATTTAGTGTTAAAAAATAGGATGATTGGTGAATATTCATGTCCGTATCTTTGCAATATTGGAAAGGCTTGCAATAACCCTTGCATTCGCCCAGAAGGTTGCCGATTTCATTGGAAAGCTAAAAAACGAGTACCATGTTCTGATTGCAGAAAGCCTACAGCTTATGCTTGTAGCCGATGCCCGTTACATGTTATAGGCTATTATGTTATTCAGTATTATGACAGGCTTCGATCACGATTGGAGATGCAAGAAAGTAATGGATAGATCATTTCGGCTAGCACTTTATCTTAATTTTAGCCAGAATTTTAGGCGTAATATCCAATGGGCATTTACTAAATTTTCATTAGACTTGCTTTTTAGCTAGAAGCGCGAAACATATTTTTCGTTAAAGTTTTATGATTAATATATTTAATGAGCTAGCTCGTGCAGAATCCGTTCTTGACTAAGAAAAAGTTGGGACAAAAAACTCCGTTAGACTTATTTAACAATTAAGATATTTAATAAGCTAGCTTATACAGAAGCCATTCTTGTATATAGAAAAGTTCGTTAGATTTAAAAAGTCACATGATTTTTTCGTTAGACATTTTATGGATTTTCATTAGACTTAAGAAAAACTGTTAGACTTATTTATGGGGTAATAAGGACGGTTAGACTTATTTTTGTTAGACTTATTTATGGGGAAAGGACGGTTAGACTTATTTTATTAGATTTAAGTAGTAAATATACTATTTAAAGAGCTAACTCGCGCAGAATCAATTCCTGATATAATAATAGAAATTAAGATTCTAGAGTCGTTAGAAGCTTTTCTAATATATTAATAAAAATCGATATGCTTTTTAAGGTTGGAGAAGTCATACAGAATTAAGAAATATAATATCAAAATTAAGATTCTAGAGCTGTTATAAGCTTTTCTAATATAATAAGAAAAATCGATATGCTTTTTGAGGTTAGAGAAGCCACACAGAATTAAGAAATATAATATCAAATTAAGATTCTAGAGCCGTTAGAAGCTCTTCTAATATAAATAAAAAAATTGATATTGTTTTTAATGTTCTGTGACCCACACACACAATGTTTCAGTGGGGGTTGGACCTTAAGTTCTCAAACCCCTACTTTCACATTGTGTTGACTAAAGTATCTCCTATAGTATAATACCCTTCCCATAATCTAATCCAAAAGACCTAGGTATTATATATAAGGACTTTGCGAAAATTTGTATAATACTTGGGATATTATATACTAATTAGTTTTTATATACTATAGAATTTATATAAATCGTAAAAAATATCAAAATTTATTATAAAATCAAAAAAAAAAAAAAATACATCAAATTAATCTATAAATCATATTCATTATCATAATCTATTTCTTGTTTTTCATATTCATTTATATTATCTGTATCACTATCATGACTATCTTTTTCTTTATTATTACTTTGATTTTCTTCATCATCAATATAAATTAATTCAGTTTTTTTACTTTTTTTCTTTTGTAAACTATCATAATTAAATATCAAATCATCTTTACTACTATCTCCAGCAATAGAAATACCACAACATTTAAATGATTTTTGAATTAAAATTAATATCAATATCATCTTATGATCTTTTTACCCAACTAGCAATATTAGCATATGAAGATTTTTTGATTCTTCTAGAAGGTGTTAATTCACGAACCTCAGAACTTATCCAATTATTGTAATATTAATGTAAATTTACTTTAAAACTTTTGTTAATTGTTACATCTAATGGTTGTAATTTACTTGTAAGCCTATCAGGAATAACTGCAATATTTGTTTATTTTTTATTAAACCTATTTTTTACTGAATCTACAAGATGTTTCTGAAAAGAATCCAAAACTAGTAAAGATTTTAGATTATTTAATAAATTTCTTTGAGTCCATATATTCTCAATCCATCAGAGTATTTATTTGTTCATTACACTATCCTTTATCATTTACACAAATAAAAATTCTTTCAGAAAATGATTCTTTGAAAGATTTTTAAGTTTGAAAATACAAACTGCTGGTAATTTTGTACCATCAGCCATACATTCTAAAATAACTGTGAAGTTTGACTTTTTATGACTTGTTATTTGTATATTAACAGTTGAAGTACCATAATAAGTTGAATAAGGTAAATCAAATGTAACAGGAGTTTTATCTATATTACTAATGTATTTTAATAAATAGTCATATTGGATGCGCCTGTATAAAATAAAAGTTAAAAGTTTTGCTATTTTTCTAAAAGATTTTCAGGAAGATGTTGAGCAATATGAGTTCTTTTTCTTATAGCAAAATTGTATCTTTTCATAAATCCCTCTAACTATGCTTCTGAAAATTTAAATTCTTTAATATCTGTATAAAGATCTATCTATTTTTTTCATTAGTAAATAATTTTGCTTTTCTAACTACTATATTTAGCATAACAGCTTTTACAGCTTTACGCAGATTAATCATCTATAAAGAAAGCTCTTTTTCAAGTTCCAAAAAAACTGGACTTTTGCCTTTATATAATTTTTAAATATATGGTGCTGCATTTTCAAGTTTGGTTTTTTAATTTATCTAATCTTAAACTTGCTTTAGTTCTATTTGAAATCGTTTTGCAATTAAATGCTTACTTCCACATTATTCTGCATGTTTTATTACAAGTAACTTTTCTCTAGCACACTATTGTCTTCTTTATTTTGTTGTTACTTTTGTTCTTTTATTAGTAGGTTTATTTTGGTGAACAACCATATCAAAAAAAAATAAAAAGGAAAAGATAAAAAAACAAAAGTTAAAATACGAAATAAAAAAAAAAGTTTTAAAAACACATTTTATGATATATCATTTTGGTTATAAAATGATCGATAATAAATGATAAAATCATTGTAAATTCTTAAATTACATTTAAAAAAAAATTTTGTTTAAAAAAAAATAAAATTTTATTAAAAAAAGAAAATTTTTGTTTAAAAAAATTTTTTAAAAAACTAAGTCATGCTATATGCATGCAAATATTTAAACTTCTTATTGGTTAATTTAAATTCAAATAGTAGACCTTATATGGTATAGCGTAGTACCCTCCCCCTTAGACCAAAGTACTCCCTGTAGTATAGTACCCTTCCAACTTCACGAATTGGTAAAATACCCGGGTACTTTAGTCAACTGTTTACGGTAGTTACAATAAGTTAATTTAATGTCTAAATATTTTTTTTTTTAATTTTATTTAATTTAATTTTATTTTAGATTTCTTTTTTAATAATTATCAGATACAGTAAATAATTTTAATAATTTTGATTTTTTATTTAAATTTAATTTAAATTTAAAAATCTATTTATTATTGCATTCATTTCTCACTAAAAAATTTATTATTATTAATTCTAAAATAATATACAAAACAAATTAGTAAATTAATGATAAATTAATATTTAAACTAAAAAAATTAGTAAAATTAATTAATAAATTAAATTTTATAAAATAACAAAATAAATCAAAAAACATATTATTACAATTATTAATTATTAAGAAAATTTATTGTCACAATTTTTAATTGATCCTAAAATATAAATTTTAAATAAATTTAATTTAAAATAAATTATTCCTTTCATTTTACCTTACATATATCTATTTACTAAATTAATATCTGAATAATTAAATTAGATCTGAAATTTTTATCAGTTAAATTAACAAAAGTATAAATAGTTTTATTTCTTTTATTATCTAAACTGAATTTGATAAATTAGATTTGAATTAACATCTGAATCTAATAGTTCAGATCTGATCTAAATCTAAATCAGATCTAAATTTGATAAATCTTATTTGAATCCAATCTGTCAAATTTAAATTAGATTTAGATTAATTTAAATTTATGTGAAATATTACTAGTAATGCTTATCTATTATAGATTTTAACTAGTTGTAACTCAATTTGTATTAATTTACAATTAGTTGTAATTTATAATGCTTATTTATTACTGATTGTAATTAGTTATTATATTATATTATTATATTTTAGAAATTAAAATAAGTTTAAGTAGAAAAAATAATAATTAAAGTTTACTTAATGATTACTAAAATATTTTAGATAAATATAAATATATATAAGTTTTTTAATTTAATAATATGGGTTGATTGCTAGGAAAATCAGGTTCTGAGAATTTTTTAGCAAAATTGAGATTTTTATTGTATTTTAGTTTTTGATGTTATTAGATTAAAATGTATTAAGCTTTTTATTTTAGTCAAAAATTTCTCAGAACCTGATTTTCCTAGAAACACTCCCATATGGAAAGTTTATTAGGAAAATCAGGTTCTAAAAATTTTTTTTTTACTAAAATTAAGACCTTATTACATTTTAATCTAATAATATCAAAAATTAAAATGCAATAAAAATCAAGATTTTTGTTAAAAAATTTCTAAAGTCTGATTTTCCTAACAATTTCCTATATAAGTTATATAAGTCAAGTTTAAATAAACTTTTATTTAATTTATAAATTAATTTATCTAAGAATCTTCATATTCTTATTTTATTTTGTAAATTATATACCATTTTATTTTATTTATATTATATCTTTTCTATATTTTTATATTATATAAATTATCATACTACTTTATATTGATATTTGTTATCCTTTTATAGTTTACATAATACAATATATATAAATAGAAACTTTAATAAGCTTTTAATTCTAAACGATGTTTGTTTTCATTTAATTTATATTAATTGAACCCCTGACCCATATATCTATATATAAGATAATCATCGACTAAATGGGTAAAATGTGTGAAAGTTTAAATTGTACATGTGAAAATGAAAAAAAAATCCCCCTTTTTATCTTTTTATGAGAATAATATACCCTTTTTATGATTTAAGAATTCGATACATCGGGTATATAAATAAGATTAAATAATGTGAATAAAATACAGAAAAAAAAAAAAAAAAAAAAATCCTCTACGAATTAACGAATTAACAATGGATCTAAACGATATAGATGCAATTTTACCTGGTAAAGGAAAAAAAAGAAAAAAAGATCATGTATACCATTATTCGTAAATATTGAAACCATTTTCATTTTTTTTAGAGATTATTCGGGAAATTCTTTCTTATGATGAAGGGATATATAAAAAGGTCTTAGATTTATATTTCACAGATGACGCAATTTTAACTCACCCTATTTTGAACGTCCAGGGAAAACGTAACATTCGTAAAGTTTTTCAAGTTTGGACATTACTCAATAAACAACAACCCGAAGTTACAAATACGAGAGATTTGGTTTGGAAGTAAGTTGTAATTTACCACCTTACTTTTTTAAAATAATTTTAGATTTACCCTCTTTCTTTTTTTTACCTTAGCGACAATACTGCTATCATCAATGTAACACAACATTTGCGCCCTCGAATTTTTCCGTTTCTCCATTTCGCTGTGCCCTCTGTAACAATTTTAAGATTCCGTGAAGAAGATGATGGATTTTTTTATATTTATAAGCAAGAAGATAATTGGACTCTTGAAGGACTTATTAATAGTGTTCCATTGATTAATTGGTGGTATGAAAACGTAGTTCGCGTTTATGTAGGACATATGGTTACGAGTGTTGGATCATTCCTTGCTACTGCAAATCAAGCGACTTCCCGATTAACTATCGCGGCTAATGATATTCGACAACATAGTGGCGAAGCTATGTCTCAAGGTCAAGATCGCGCTTTACAATATGGACATGACTTGGCCAATAATGTTTCTTCGGTAATTAGCAAAACAAAGGAATCCATAGGTATTAAAGGCCTTGAAAATCAACAACATTATTATATGACCAATGGTGAAGCAAGTCCTGAAATGTAAACAAATTACAATTATTATATGATCGATGTTTTATTTTTTTTTTATTTAATTCCAACACATTTTTATGTCGTTAACCTTTTTATTTTGAAATAAAACAATTTTATAATTCTTCATCATCACATAATAAATAATTCTCAATTTGTTTTTTCATTTGCTTTCTATTATTGTTCTTTTGTTCTTCGACTCCTTCAGCAACATAAGGAGGCAAGATGATCCGTTGATTGATCACATTAACATAAAGCATATTCACACGACACGCATAACATAATAAATCCATGAATTCGACATTTGTCGTAGATTCATCATTGATGGTGTTACAATTATCATAACGGCTTGTAGTTTTATTTGACGATGATTGTTGTCCATTGCATTCCTCGGATTTGTGTAATGAAGGAATTGTCATAACTGTAATCCTATCTTGCCATATTTTATTATTTTCCTGATATGGCCTACAAAATTAATAAATAAAATAAATAAACAGAAATTTTTCGCATATAAGTATATGAATTGCATACATTAAACAAACTACACAACGGTTTTCTTTCACAATAGAATCTGATGGTGTAAGTTTGGCTCCAGTTCTTGCTATCGTACTCACAGTCGATGGAAATTCTTTGTCTAATCTCAAAATAAAATCTACACAATATAACAATATGTATATATATATAAATATATTATTTTAGGATAAAAATCTTTGATAAAGTATATATATATTTTTACCTTCAGTTAATCTCTCAATACTAGCTTTAGGATGCATCATACTCGTCATACTAGGAACATATATACTCTCTAATCCATTTAATTGATTATATATCCCAATTTCCTTTGATAACATGTCTTTCATTGGTCTTGTAATTATTACATCTATTAAGTTATTTAACAACGAATTATTATAAAAAGTAGAAATAAAATAAAAATATCATAAATTACTTTTTTACCTTCAAACCAATCAATTTCACCGGAGGTTTCTAAAGGTAAACTAAAACCACGTCCTTTACTCGTCTGTGAAATTATTTTTATCGATAATCTCGATGAACAATCTCCCAAAAACAACCGTTTACATCTACATCATTATTATCAATACATGCGCAATATAAGATGAGCGTTATAAAAAAATGCGTAAATAAAAAAATAGAAAAAAGTAAAAGAAAAAATTTTCTAACCCATTTTTCCTTGCAGTAAAAATTAAATAGCACAACTTCAAATACCATATAAAATCTTCTTTGGCAGTTGATTTTGAAACATTATTTAACAAGTGTAATAATTTCTCAGTAGGAGCAACAACAGAACCTTCTTCTAGTTGCAAAATTTTGGCGTCATCAACCGCCAACTCAAGAACATTGCTATAACATCCACTTTTAGTAACATCAGGATTAAATATATCTTGTAGATATAATCCTATGAATGGATAATTATACTTTTGTACAATCTTTTCTACTTGTAAGATTGTGCTTTCCTGTTATATATAAGTACGTAAATTTTTTAGGTATATTTGACATTTACCAAAACAAAATTTCGCATACCTGTGAAAATGTACTACTTGTACTGTCGTAATTAAACAATACACTTTCATCAATATGACAAACAATAATTTCTGAATATGCACATTTTTTTGACGTTTCATGTGGGTGAGTTTCGTTATATTCATTTATTAATTGTAACATCGTTCTATACAAAATTCATAAATATAACGCGTTTTGTTAATACCCTCCAATGAATTACAATTAAAATAGATTTCAAAAAAAAAACCTTGAAGACGGCCCGCCTGAAAATCCAATCATTACTTTCTCTCCACAACCATTAAGTTTGGTAGAATTAGAAGATATACGAGATTTTTCCACATTCTTTCGGAATTTACCAACAAATACATGCTGGAAACATTTTCTAAGTTTTAAAAATTATTATTTCTTGTAAAAATTAAATTGAAGCTTCTAATCATGCAAAGTTATTTTATTTTGTATTTACTTGCAATATGTAGAATGTCGAATTAGTACAGTTGCTTTTGTTGTTTTACATTTAATACAATCCTTTGTAGCTGGCTTTATATTAACTAGTTTTGTAAATCAAGTTAACTCGGCTAAAAATATATATAAGAAATTTTACTTGAAACAAACCATTGAGATCTAACGAAGTTTCTTGAACACTACACATTTTCGGACCAATTTAGAGCCTAGATCCTATTTCAACTATATATGACGTGATTATTAAATAAATCAAGTGATATATTAAGGTATTTAATATTGCCTTTTTTATTTACAAGATCAATCTATGCGAAATTTTTTTTTTGTCATATATGAGGCATATCGAAGATCCCTTTCTTGATTGATCTCATACTTTTTGTTTGAAAAATAACGATGATGGTTTTGCCATTGAAATCAAGATCCTCTGTGAAATATTTTGTTCCTTCAAGTTTCAGATCTTCGATTTTTGATGGATCCGATAATCTCTCGACATCAATAGCACCATCTTTTATTTGGTTAAGTTTATCCTGAGTAAATAATATTGGTTAGACGATTTGTAACACATCTAAAACAAATATTTTTAATTTATTAAAGGTGGTGTAAAATAATAATTTTGCGTCATTAGTAATATTTTATTATAGAAACAAAAAGCAAGTCGTAGTTATAACATTTTGTGTAAGTTAGTACCTTCTTGTTACTATCATGTCAAAATAGGCCATTAATTTTATTATTCTTAAAGTATCATATCGGCATTAATAAATAGTTTTCTTTAGCCAAAAAAAAAAAATTCCGATCACATACATATTCGGTCACTTTCTCTTCATCTTGCTTAATTTACGCGATACTGATTTATGTTTACGTTTATATTCTTTTGTCAAATCACGCGAAGTTTCTTGCCAGTGAGATATTATTTTTTCACTAAAAGTAATAAATCAGTTAGGATTCAATTAAAAAAATTTCGTTTTTGATTATGACCTCACACTTACGCGGGTGACATCCGCATGAATATCTTCATTTCCCTAAAATGTGATCTAACAAAATAATTTTCGAAGCTATAGTTTTAAGTGTTTCTCAATAAAACCAAGTCAAAAAAATAACCAACCTTTTTGATAATTCATTGTCTCCAAAATGGAAAAAGAATAATGGTCCCGAAGAAACCTGCGTCTTCTGATCTGACACACTGTCCGTTATGGTTGGAGACTTTTTGCTAATCTACAATATATAAAGAGAGAGATGTTAAAAAAAAATTTATGCTTATTAAAAAAAAAAGACATACCAAAGTTGGCCCGTTCTCGTTAGTATTTTCTTGCATTTGCATATCATCCGTTTCACTTTTATTCTCGTCATCATCAAAAAGCGAGAATGAATGTATAGCTATAAAAAAAAAAGGACATAAAAATCAAAAAAAAATAGTAAATTCTTTTTGGAAAAAGGAATGTTACCGGTTGAAGTTCGAGGAGCGAATATTCCTTTCAAATCGGAATTAATTTCTATCTTTACATCTTTTGATACTTTAGGCAAAGGTTTCGATAATGATGGAGTGGATTCTGATAATGATTCTAATAAATTAATAAAAGTTATTATAATAATAATGATAGAGTGATGCGATGTGTACTTTACTTACTTGGTAAATCATTAATTTCTTGCCTTTGAACTTCTAATGATTTCGCTTCTGAAACGTCAGGATCAAAATGAACTATTTCTCTCCATTGGGTTTCTTTTCTATTAATGTGTAAATTTATTGTAAATTTATAGTATGCTAAATTTAAATAGATATACTTTTTAGATATACCTTTTCGACTTTTCGGGTTTCATATTGTCTCCAAATATTTCTTTCAAGATATCAAATTGATTTCCCCTTTCTTCCTCTAATGATTTGGCAGTTTCATCGTCAATTTCATTAATAGATAAATCATTATTCACATCCTTTTGACCATCATAATCATCATCATCAACAAAATCTTCTGTCAATTTGAATCGTTCATCGCCACGAAACTTCCTTTGTAAATTAAGATAATCACGTCCCGAAGAACCCTCAAAAATTGGATTTATCGCTATATCTATTATTAAAACGTCTTTGATAAGTTTATATAGTAAAATAGAAATAACTATAATAACAATTGTTAATACTAACTTGTTGATCCTACTGGTTCTTGATCAGATTCATCTGAATCAAATAGGTTCATTGTATGTGATTCCACGTTTTTCTGTTCATCATCATCACTAAATACTATATGTTTAGTATTCTAAAATTATCAAGATAAAATGTAAATTATAAGACTAAATAGATATCAAATAAACAAGACGTGTCAATTACATTTGACGCAGTCTCTGCTCTTAACGCTTGCGTAATCTTTTCTTTTTCAACGCGTTTTTCTTCCGCACGTTGCCTTAGCGCTTCCAAACGAATTAAATTAGATTGTTCTTGTTTCGATAGATTCTTATTCTTGTCAATTACGTTTGACGCAGCATCTGCTCTTAACGCTTGCGTAATATTTTTTTTTTCTACACGTTTTTCTTCCGACCGTTGCCTTAGTGCTTCCAGATTAGATTGTTCTGGTTTCGATAGATTCTTATTCTTTTCTTTTTCCAATTTCAACTTTTTAAAATCATCAATAATTGAGGGCGGCAACTGAGTTTGGGTAACCATAGGTGCTGTGTTGGTAATTGTAATGTCAACTTTTGGAAAAAATGATGCGAAATTTATTTTTGATTCATTGTCTAATTTCTCATAAGAATCTACTTGAGTTTTGTTCTCGTCCAATTTCATTTCATTATTAAAATTTCTAAAGGGTTGTTGTTTCTCTTCGATAGTTACATATTCCTCATAAAAATACGGTAATCGAGCGAGTGATTTCGGTTTAACAACCATATCTTTATCAGACAATTTCAAAAGATTGTCTTTATAGTGACTCGGATCAATCGTTACCTTTTTAAGGAAATTTAATTAGGTTAACTAATAAAAAAAAAGAAAGAAATACTTTCTTTAAAGTGACGTTTATCATGAGATTTGCTAAATTAATATATACCCTTGTTTTGTCATCCTTTTTTAATCGCATAACCGATGCAACACGACCATACTTTAATTTTTTCCAACCCTGAATTAATAAATATAATGATTTTATATAAAAGCATTTTACCATCTAGAAAATATAAATAAGTTCCAAAAAAAAAAAAAACCTTTCTTGTCTCGGCACTGCTATCAGTTACCAGACTCATATCTTCAGCTAATTCGAAAGAACGATCCCGTCCACGTTTTTTACGCGGTAGGGAAACTTTAGCCTTTTCTTCTAAAGCTTTTTGAATTTCCCACTCTTCATTTAACCTTTTTATACGATAGATTATCATAATTATAATATTTCACGTGACTGGAATGATCGATCACTCGATTAGTTTATTTGTACCTTTGTTTATAATCAAGTTTCGCCTCCTGAACCTTTAACGTCATTCCTTTCCACTTAGCCCCATTGAAGAGAGAAACACCTTTATATTTTATAATAAGTTTGTATATTTTTCTTTCATTTATTATTATTATTATTATTATTATTATTTAAAAAAAACACTATACATTTTTTCCAGTCATTATCAGTCGTCTTTAACGTAATATAGGCAAAACCACGACACTCTCCTATGAAAAATTACCAAATAATTAATATATTAAAAACACATACACAAAATTTTCCTTAAAAGTTCTCTCATTTCACCTGTAGGCTGACGTATGATGTCTACATTTGTTACGACTCCAAAAGCACTTAAGCGAACTTCCAAGTCCTTTTCAACTATGTCTTTAGAAAGACCTCCTATATAAACACGTTTATCCAGTGTGGGAAGAAACTTGGGGGATAAATAAAAGGTATTCTAAACAATTCAAATTTTTTTTGTCCATTATAATTAACTTTGATTGGCTGATAATTAACATTCGATGGATCTTACCGAATCTAATTAAGAATTATTAAGCCCAAATGCAGCCACACCATGCAAATCATCAATCAACCATCTAAACGACACAAATATATATAAATTAATATATCCTCTTTTTTTTTACGCAGAACTACTTTCTAGTCCAGTTCAAGAAAAGTAGTTGAAACAAAAGAACAAGAAAAAAAAAGATCAAATTTATTTTTTACGATAATTGAATTAATGGCTGCTCAAATCATTGTTGTTGGTGGTGGTCTTTCTGGACTTTCTGCGGCTCATACTGTTTTAGAACACGGTGCTAATGTTCTTGTTCTTGATAAGAATTCTTTCTTTGGTGGTAACTCTACCAAAGCTACCTCAGGTATCAACGGCGCCTTGACCAAAACTCAGATAGGTTAGTATCATTGTGTGCGAAGAGAGAAAACGGTTTTTAGCTAATATTTATATGCGGCTTGTTTTCCCAACGTTATTTTCGTCAAAATAAACTCTTAATAACTAGATTTATTCTATGCATAATCTAATTGAATTAATTTTTTTTATAACGATTTATTATGATATATAATGTAGCCCTTGGTATTCAAGACTCTGCCGCTATATTTGAAGCAGATACAATACGTTCGGCTCGTGACCTTGCTCGTCCTGACATTATTAAAGTTCTCACAGGAAATTCGGCATCTGCTGTTGAATGGCTTCAAGATAAATTCAAATTGGATCTTTCTCTCGTTTCACGATTAGGTGGACATACTCAGCCTCGTACACATCGTGGGAAAGAAATGTTTCCCGGTATGACAATTACGTATGCTTTGATGGAACTTCTCGAAGAAATTGCTGAAAAGCAACCAAATCGTGCACGTATCGTAATGAAAGCGCGTGTAACAAAATTGATTAAAGAAGGTGAAGAAGTTATTGGTGTCGAATACGAGAAAGATGGCCAAACATTTAAAGAACTTGGTCCCGTAATTTTGGCCACCGGTGGTTATGCAGCCGATTTCACGGAAAGTTCATTGCTTAAAAAATATCGACCAGACATATATGATTTACCTACCACGAATGGAGATCATTGTACTGGTGATGGTCATAAAATGGTTCTTGCCATTGGTGGTCAAGCTATTGATCTTGAAAAAGTTCAAGTACATCCAACTGGTCTTGTTGATCCCAAAGAGCCAGATGCCAAGATCAAATTTTTAGCCGCTGAAGCACTCCGTGGCGTTGGTGGTTTATTATTGAACGGTGAAGGAAAACGATTCTGTGATGAATTGGGTCATCGTGATTACGTCACTGGTGAAATTTGGAAGACAAAAGGTCCGGTCCGACTTGTACTTAATAGCAAAGCTGCGAAAGAGATTGAATGGCATTGTAAACATTATGTCGGACGTGGTTTAATGAGAAAATTTTCCTCTGGTGAGGATTTAGCGAGAGAAATCGGTGTTCCTGTATCACGATTAAGAGAAACTTTTGATGATTACAATGGTATCGCTTCTGGTAAAAAGAAGGACCCTTATGGAAAGAAATTCTTTCACAATGCTCCCTTGACAGTAGATGACAATTTCCACGTTGCTTTAATGGCACCAGTCTTGCATTACACCATGGTAAGTCACCTGCTTTACTTTTTTGTTTGTGATCTAACCAATCCCTAATTATATTAAATTTTTTTTATAGGGAGGCGTTGAAGTTACTCCTGATTCTGAAGTCAAAGATGTACAAGGAAAAGTTATCCCAGGACTATACGCTTCTGGTGAAATTGCTGGAGGTGTTCATGGAGCAAAGTAAATACCATTTATGAAAAAATTTTTTGATATTAAATAAATTACTCACACTTAAATAATATATAGTCGTCTTGGTGGATCATCTTTATTGGGATGTGTTGTATTTGGACGAGTTGCTGGTGATTCGGCATCACGTCAATTGCTCCAAAATTTGTCCAGCGAGACTGCGAATCGTCGACTCGGACAAATTGCTGGTCAATTGGCCCCCTATCAAGCAACTGTTAATGTTGATCCTACAAATCAAAAAGTGCGATTGGAAATTTTTTGGGGCCAACAGCAAGGCGTTAGTGCTGCTATCACTCAAGTTCCTTCAACTCCTGCTCCTTCGAATGAAAAGAAGGAAGCTGCTCCTCCAGTCGAATTAAAAGAATATACTATTGATGATGTAGCTAAGCATAGTTCTGAACAAGATTGTTGGGGTAAAGTATTTTCCTTTCCTAAATTTATTCTTTTGTGTAAATATAAACTTGAACTAATTTCCTATTACAAATACACTTAAAGTCGTGGTTAATGGACAGGTCCTCAACGTTACAAAATTCCTTCCAGGTTCTTTTTTTTTTTTTTTTATTTTCTTACTATTCATTTGTTACAAAGTAAAATAACCGTTTCATTAAAACCTTTTTTTTCATATAGATCATCCAGGTGGTAAGAAATCAATTTTACTATTTGCCGGAAAAGATGCTAGTGAGGAAGTAAGTAGACAAGTTTATCCTTTCTCTGGAAAAATTAATGAATCAAATTAATCAAAATTTTATTTTGTTTCCAAGTTCAACATGTTACACGATAAGGGGGTAGTACAAAAATATGCTCCATATGCGGTAAATATTTAAATTTTTTTTTGATTTTTATATTAATTTAATTAAATTTTTTTGTTTGTTTGTTTTTGTAGATCATCGGTACTTTGAAGCAATAAAGAAATATCGGAAAAAAAAATTAAAATAATAATAATAAAATAATAAATTATAATGAAAAATTTGTTTTCTTGGTGAAACTAAAATCAATTATCATTATTTGTAACAATAAATTAAATGTACTAAATATATTAAAATAAAAATGTCGAAAGAATTCTAGAGTTTTATCCACTTTTTAATTATCAGATCTCATTGATAATCTCTCCGAAATCTTATTTTAAAGGATACGTTCTACAAAATATAATATTTTTATATTCGGTTTCTATTGGGTGAAATTTTACTCAAGTTCTTTTTAGTTATTCTTTTAACTGAAATAACGTGCGAATTATACATTCGTAATGTCGAAAAGTTTATTACAAAAGTCTATATTTAAACGCTCGCTAAGAATCAACCATGGATTGTCAAGTCTTATATTTGTATGCACTTTTTGTTTTCATGTTTTCTTCGTTTTCTCTTGGTTACATACATACTATCAATTTTTATTTTTATTTTCTGGTGAACTTTAGAAATCTTATGCCTCTAGTGCAGCTCAAAAGGAGGTAAGAATAGCTATAAATATATTTCCAAAAAAGCTTGAAAAATCCTTCGCTTGTATAATAAAAGATAATTTTTTTTTTTTTATTACAGTATTTAAATAAACACTTAACGGAAACTGACCCAGAAGTTTTTGATATTATAGAAAAGGAAAAAAGGCGACAACGCGAGAGTATAGTGCTTATTCCATCAGAGGTGGATTGAATTTTCTAAATTTAATCTCCTTTTGTTATTATATATAAATATCTATTAATATCTTATGAAATTAATTAAGAATTTTACGTCACGTGCCGTTATGGAAGCTTTAGGTTCTGTTATGCAGAACAAGTATTCGGAAGGGTATCCAGGTGCAAGGTGTGAATGAAGTTCAAAAAATTAATAATTTACAATTTTTACAATTTTAAACATTACTTTTACTGATTTAATATTTTTCTTTCATAGATATTATGGTGGAAATGAATTCATTGATCAGGCAGAGATTTTATGTCAAAAACGAGCTTTAGAAGCTTTTAATTTGAAGGATTTTGAATGGGGAGTGAATGTTCAATCTTTATCAGGTATTTCTCATATTAACTCATATTAGGTTTAATCAATTGATGTCTAAAGAACGATAATTATTATGTAGGAGCACCGGCTAATTTATATGTGTATAATGCTATCTTAAGACCTCATGAACGGTTGATGGGATTGGATTTGCCACACGGTGGACAGTAAATGTTATGAATTAATTATTTTTATTGTTTGAATATTAAATAAATTTTTGACAAAAAAAAAATGTTTTATTATTTTAATTAAGCCTATCACATGGATATCAAACAGATACTAAGAAAATTTCAGCAGTTTCATCCTATTTCGAGACTTTACCATATCGATTAAATGAAAAGACAGGAATAATAGATTATGATGCTCTCGAGGCCACGGCGTTGTTATACCGACCAAAAGTTATTATTGCTGGCGCTAGCGCATATCCAAGAAAATTTGATTATGCACGAATGAAAAAGATCGCAGAAAAAACAAACTCGTATTTAATGGCAGATATAGCTCATATAAGTGGTTTGTTTCATCATATTTTATTATAACTTTTGTTGATGTTTTAAATATGAAAATGCTTAATTCTTTCATTCTTTAGGCTTAATTTCTGCCGGTGTTCTTCCTTCACCATTTGAATTTGCCGATATTGTTACAACCACAACACATAAATCCCTTAGAGGTCCACGCGGCGCATTAATATTTTATAGGAAGGGTGTACGCAAAGTTGATAAGAAAGGAAAAGGTTATTATGTGGATACAATTTGATTATTTTCTTTCAGAATTTCAGGCATTGTTAATGCATGTTTTTTTTATTTGTTAAGTAAAAACTTTATCATATATAATGGTTCAATCAAAAAGAAACCTTATATGAACTTGAAAATCCTATCAATCAATCCGTGTTTCCTGGTCATCAGGGTGGGCCACATAATCACACTATCACCGCACTTGCTGTAGCACTTAAACAAGCCAAATCCCCACTTTTCAAAGAATATCAACAGCAAGTTTTAATCAATAGTCTCGCATTTGCTGAAGCTTTCAAGAAAATGGGATATAATTTAGTTTCCGGTGGTACGGATACACATTTGTTGCTAGTGGATTTAAGATCAAAGGTGAGCGTATACTATTTGATAAAATTATAGGTATTTATGTCTGACGCAAGTTTAATTAATTCATTTTAGAAAATCGATGGTGCGCGTGTGGAACGTGTTCTCGAACTGGCAAATATCGCGGCTAATAAGAATACTGTTCCTGGTGATAAGAGTGCTTTAATACCGGGAGGAATACGAGTCGGCACACCAGCTATGACATCACGCGGTC